TACAACTAAGGAGTGCTCATCTTCGCCTCGGCTCCATCAGCCGCCTTCATCTCCTCTCCAACTCCGGCTTCCTCTGTTCCCTTCTCTTCATCTCCGAGATTCACATCGCAGCTCACCATCACTTGAAACCCAGCAGCAGCATCCTTTTGGACAGACTCCACGAATTCATCCATGGACTCGCCAGAAAAATCCAAAGCAGCATGACCGGTCTTCGCCACCGATGGATCGGCCAAGTCTTCGATCGGCGTAGACTTTCCTGATCGCTCCTTGGCGGCAAACTCGGTGATTCCAGGATTGCCACGATTCGAACCAGAAGGCTCACTAACCCCAATGCTTGCCGCTAGACCATCGGTAGTAGAGTCAAGAGTGAGGACTTTGTCCATCTCCAACCATAGCCGATTGAAACGCTCACCCGCTTCCTTAACATTCTCKATGGCGCCGAGAACGTTCTTCACCTCGTCGTCAAGAGAGGGAGCGTCGGGCTTCTGAAGCATGGTCAAAAGAGCGAGGTTGCTCTTCATCTCGTAAAGATCCCTCATGCTGACGAGAGCCTCGCTATCTATCTCCTCAAAGCATTTGCGAGCTTTCGAAACCCTCGCGTAAAACCTACTTGTTATATCACGCTTCGCCCCCACAACGGCTGCGACAATCTCCGCCTCTTTGAGTCGGACAGCTTCTTCCAGCTTTTTCTCGGCCTCTTCCCAGTTCGTTGTTGCGTTTTCGATCGCCTTGTCTTTTCTCACCGAACGATTCTCCAACACCTTGATCTGATCATCGGCGAGTTTCAGCTTGGCCCGGAGATCGGCGCACTCCTTCTCGGCCGCCTCGCGCTTCTGGTTCGCCTCGCTAGCTTCTACACGGGCGTCCTCACATCGTTGCTTGCTCAGATGAAGCTCGCCCTGATAATCTTTGGCCAGCTGATTAACATGGGCGGCGAGCTGCGAGAACAATCCGCACATAAGTTATTAAACGAAGGGCAAGCGCGGCAAATCCAATGAAATTAGCAAAAAACCTTACCTTAACTGCCCGGAGCGCTACCTCGCCATAGACGTCTGCAAATTCCAGAGAGGCGTGATCCACCGGGTTCATTCCAGGTCGGCAAAATTGGGAAATTGCGCGAGCTGCTGCGACCGGAGTGGTGTAAGGATCATTGGGATCCGACGATGGAGCATTAACGTCACCCTGCG